CATCGCTAGGAGCAAGGACGCTACTAGGGGCTCCTGGCATCGCTACTCTAGAGGCTCCTGGCAGTACTACTAGGAGCAAGGACGCTACTAGGGGCTCCTGGCATCTCTACTAGGAGCAAGAAGCTTCGGGGGGCTCCTGGCCGTACTACTAGGAGCAAGGACCCTTCTCGTTTCAGTCGCTGTTCTTTGGGCGTGTCATGTGCGTTGTGTGCTGCTCCGTTTCCGACCTTCCTGGCAGTTGCCCAGCGTTGATGGCAATTGATGTTGCAGAGCATGGTTCAGAGCCGGCAAATCACGGGCTAAAAGTTCATTCAGCTCAGACAGGCTCGTGAGCACCACCGACGGCTCTTTGGGGCCTTGGAAGCATGGATCATGTGCTAGTATGATGATGTTCATAGTATTTTCTACCCAAAGTTTCGTGCTATGTACATGACATGTGTACACTTCCCCTAAAGACCAGAGCCAAAGGACCCCCGGCACTCACCATTGCTCACCCAATTTGCAAGCTTACACAGTCTGCCAAACGGGAGGAGGAATGCGCAATCATTGAAAGTAGCAAGCAAAGAAGAAAAATACAAACGAAATCCAACACGCAACCGACCTTTGGGTCATCAAATTGAACATCAAACATAATCAAAAACACAATGCCGTCAATTGAATATGTAGACTGAACATGACTGAACTACTTGAATGAACTCGCTGATATGTCCCAGAGTTGGCATCTGGAGACTTCAAGTCTTGGAACTCAGAGTCGTCCTGGAACTTCCAACCATTTGCTGCAACCAAAAGGACGCTACTAGGGGCTCCTGGCATCGCTACTAGGAGCAAGGATGCTACTTGAGGCCGAGGGTAGGTGACGAAACCTAGCAGGGATGCATCCGTGTCAGTGGAGGCGAAGCATACAGCGCCGTCCAGTGACAAAGGACTGGTGGGACATCAAGCGGAGTGAGGCAAATCTTTTTCATAGGCATGGGGCTGTTGGAGGGATGGTTCACAAGGTCTCGCTCATGAGGTAAAACGTTGTGAACATGTAAGACACACGAACAGCAATGACACAGCCAACCT